TTCTAACTAGTAAAAATGTAAAGTAAAATTACAGTTGTAAAAAATATAGAGCTTTACACCATAACTTTTTACTAGTAAAAATGTAAAGTAAAATTACAGTTGTAAAAAATATAGCGCTTTACAACATAAATTTTTACTAGTAAAAATTTAATATAGTAAATGTGAGGCAAAAATGCAATTTTTCTTTTGCAGTTTCTACTAGTAGGAATCAAGTTATTTCGACTAAGCCTTAGACTATTGAAAGACAATTTGGCCTGCCATATACACATGGCATGTTAGTAAATACTGTAATAAAAATTTTTTAATCAATGAATGGTAGATATTGCATTCATGTTCTATCAGCAGTGTAATGCTTACAGCGTTGTGAAAAATACGCTTATACAAAGCGTTGGATTATGAGTGCGCTTCCAGCCATCGTATTTCCCCTGCAGCGTGACTATCTGAAGTAACCGGCATGTACCACTAGGGGTAGCGTCTTTGGATGAAAAACAATAGCATTTCATTGCCATAACTTCTTTGTTTTGTCATTAAGTAACAGTAGGAATCACGTTCACATCTTCCCACGTGTTATGTTTCCATTAATATAGCCTAATAAATACGACAAAGTGATGATTAAGAACAGAACTCCCAATGACACTTAAATTGCTAATGATTGAATATTGGTTTGTTTTGGACGAATATACCTTCAGTGTCAACTGTGCTGCAACGGGACAATCCGCCAAGTCAGACTGCACTACGAGACACTGCCAATACGTGCATGCCAGACGTAACAGTACAGTGCAGCGCTGTCCCGGCGTAGTCACGAGACACTGCCTTTACGTGCGTGACACTGTCATGGAAAACGTAACAGTACAGTACATTTTGAGCTGTAACCGCTGCTGGAGAAATCTTTCAGAAACAATTTATTACGACAGCCTGCAGGAACAGCATTTAAATATATAAAAACTTCCCGGATATACATGGCTTCCGAGTGACGAGATATTTAATTGCAGTGAGATTCAAACTTACGGCCTGCGGCGTTTTTGTACTTGATGCCATGGAGACGCTTTTTGCGGCTCGCGCCTCCCTCACTCGCAGTTCAAAGCACTGTCACTGGTAAGACGCGACACTTTTCTTCGTGCATAAAACATTAATAAAATCCTCTAAGTATCATATAAAACGGGTATAAAGCGATAAAATAGAATGAGTTGAAACGTAGTTGAGGCGTAATCCTACATTATTTTTTAGTGTCATTGGTATTAAACCAATTAAATCAACATTTTAAATTCCTGTCAGATCGAACTAACGGTATCGCTATGTAATTTCTAGGAAGAGCTGAGGAGTTATCTACCGCCTGTGCTGACATTCAGGTATGTTCACTAAAATTGTCAGTTTATCACACAGTATCAAAGTACGTATTAATTGTTTATATTATTTATGTGTATAGGAAAATATTGCTGTATGTTCTTACATAAGCCTACATACCGTCACTGTCAGGCGGAAACGTCAAATGTCCAAAACTGTTACTTTTCAGAAAATGGGGGGGAAAAAATGTTTCAATGTTAATAGGAATTTCAGCTCTTTTCAGTGAGCTGGATCATTTGGCTGAGCAATAAGAGCCGGCCACTGGCGGAATTGGGGGACGGAGGGGCGAACAACCCACTCTATAGTGGGCTTTCATTTTTAGTAACAAGACACACAGATCAAATGTCCACCATAATCCATTTATGTAACAATTTTGGTCAAAATGTGGTTTAAGATACCCTCCTCCCCCCGATCGGCAAATTTTACCCCGATGTGGTACGTATTCCACCTTGATCGGAATGTTTTGCTGTTGGCACATCAAAGTCAAAGTCAAAGTAAACTGTATTATCTCAGCTATATTAATGTATACCGTGAGACTAGACGATGTGGGTCCAGTTTATACAGTTTACGATAATGAATGCACTTACAATGGAAGGAAATGTCAATTATTCTAACAACTTCGAGCAACATATTTTTGATGTTACATCGTTTAAAATTCCCTCTCGTTTTTCTTTCGACTTTATATTTTCAGGAATATCATCATTTTACATTGTGTTTGTTATAAAACCATCCATCCATCCATTATCTGCCGCTTGTCCGGGGTTCGGGTTGCGGGGGTAGCAGCTTCAGGAGAGATACCCAGACCTATAGGAGAGAATTAGAATTAAGCAATCGGATAAATCTTGGCAAGCTTAATAGTCTCCTGATAATCTTCCAAATCCACGACGGATTAATCG